AGCTCAGATTTAATCCGTGGGTAGTCCCGGATGTGGAAGGTACTGCCTTAGCTACTGGACCACCGGGGCCTCATACCTTAATGTTTAATCACAATCGCCGCCACCGGCGCCTTCCCACGTCCACGCTCCCTTCCTTCATTGACGTACCTTCCTCATGTATCTCAAAAAGATAAATCCTCTCCTCCCTTTTGATTTTCTTGTTTGACTTTTTTTTTCATATGTCACAATATCATAGTTTATCATGTTATCCGTTTTTTATTTTCAGCCTGCAGCCTACCTATGCTCTTTTCTCTTGTTTTTTTTGTGTCCCGGTAAACCCAACGATCCTTCTTACTCTCTAAGTAGGTATCAACTTCATCATCATCATGACCACCTAGTCAAACTATCCAACGCTTGCTTTCCAAAATATAGTAAATGGAGAAGAAAGAAAAGAATCTATGGTACTATCTATAATCAAACCTGCATACTTGCAAACCACGAACCCCAAAAAGAAATGCAAATTTGGAATTACGCATCAAGAGAAGAGGGGCTCCAACTCAAGCCTCGATAACAACCTTGAGCACAAGCTTCCCCTCGTCATCAAACGTCCGACTCGCCAGCTCAAACGCCTTTGACGCGTTCTGCAACCCCTTGAACCGGTGCGTAACCATATCATCCAAAGGCGGAAGCCCGCCGTTGCCCTTGGCGCAGAGCAGACGGACGCCCGTCGGGTAGGTATTCGCGTACCGGAAGATGCCAAGGATATCAATCTCCCGCAGGTGCGCGACCGACAGCGGCAGAGTCTGCACGGGCGTGCCCATGCCGACCATGATGACTTTCCCGCCGGGCCGCGTGGCGTACAGGCTGGTGTGCATGCAGACCTCTTTGCCGGTGCACTCGAAGGTGACGTCGACGCCGTCGTCTTCGGCGTCCGAGTCGAGTTCTTCGGGCACCTTTGTGAGGGCCAGGATTTCCGCGGCGAGGGACTTCGCGCCGTCGAATTTGCTCTGGACGCTCTGGACGGAGAAGATGCTGGCGGGCGTCATGACGCCCGGGTCGGCTGGCGTGGAGGTGCCGGAGTTGGTCTTGACGACGTGGCCGTGGGTGGCGAAGCCCTTTTCGACGGCGTAGTTTACGCGGCCGGCATCGACGTCGGTGATGGTAACTTCGGAGCAGCCAGCTTGCCGCGCCATGGCGGCTGTCAGAAGTCCGACGGTTCCTGCGCCGATGACCAAGGCCGTTGAGCCGGGGTCCGGCGCGGCTCTGTTGACGGCGTGAATGGCGACAGAGAGCGGCTCGAGGAGGGCGGCCGCTTCGTAGGAGACGTGGTCGGGGATCTTGTGGCACCACGCCGCCGGATGGTTGATTCGTTCCTGGAGGGTTCCTTGGTAATGGGGCACGCTCTTGGCGCTAGACCGGAACTTCATCTTCTTGCAGAGGTTGTATCTGCCTTTACGGCAGATGGTGCACTGTCCGCAGGGGACGCCGACCTCGAGAGCGACGCGGTCACCCAGCTTGAAGCCCGTGACCTGGGGCCCGATAGAGACGACCTCTCCCGAAGATTCGTGGCCTAGGGAGAGGGGGTGACACGCACAGAGGTCGCCGTTGGCGAACTTCTTGTAGTAGCTGACATCAGACCCGCAAATACCGGTCCGCTTGATGGCAATCTGCAGCTCCCCGGCGACCGGTTCTTCGATGCTCCTCGTCTCCTAAGGGGTACGAGTGTCGTTAGAATTAACATGTCCAAGGCGGGGCGGCTTTTGACACATTCAGGTATAGGGATGCAATAGGATCAACGTGGGGGAACCCTCGTGTGACGAACGAGCCCACATTCTCCACGTCACAATCCATGACCATGAGCCTAAGAAAGTTGAACTTACCAATCGCAAGTCTCGAGGACCATACAAGACTGACGCAGTGACTGAACAAGACTTTGACTTGTAGACGGGTAGGTGCATTGGTGCCATCTCACCCGTTGCGACTGGGGCCATGATGGAAGTTGGATGACGCCGGCGGCGTGGGGTGAAGCGTGGGATGATGGGTTAGGGTGTCAAAGGGGGCTTGGCCTAACTTCCTAATAGGGAGGGCTCGATGAGTGGGATTGGCCCAAGTGCCGGATGAGGGGTGCCGACAACACAAAATATGCTGAAAGACACGAGGGCGAGGGTCCTGGGAATGAGGGACGGGAGGGGACCGGCGCGGGGTGTCTCGAGGACTGATAGGTTCGCTTTGGTATTTGGAGTTTGGGGGTAATTGGGGGGCCACAAGAGGATAGACAGGGTTATTTCGTGGGATGAAGATGTAAGGAACCCAAGCTAATACGATTCCCGTGCGAAAATGGAGGTGAGCGAAATAGATTATCACTTGACAGAATGAAATGATAACCGGAAGAGCAGGAGACTCGAGATAAAGGGAATTATGAAGAAACTTTGGCGCGAGGGGCCGCTGCTCCCCACCACCCCTTAAATAGGCTTGCGTGCTTGCCCGGCCCCCGGGCACTCTCAACGTCCTGATGAATGATGCTCTTGGTGGTGTCAATCGGTGATAGACCAAAGTTGCAAGGGGCTATCTTGGGTGAATGGGGAGACGGATGGACAACGGGCCATGAGCATACCTATCGAGGGTGACCATGATGGGGAGAGTTGGCCAAGTTCGCCCAACCAAACATCGACCAGTTATCGGAGCCAAGCTAAGAGCTTCGTACATGTAATCTCGGGAAATCATATGCAAGAGACATCTAGCGACGGAGCCACCTCAGCGTTCGGCAGCAGCACAAACCTTGGCCGGTATCGTACTGGCTTGCGAGGCGAAGAGATGAAAGGGAACAGAGTAGGGATGGGTAGGCAATACCGGGCGGTAGTGTACATGGTTCGGCAAGGAACGAAGCATGTCGGGCCAGGACGTGTCCGCATTTGGGCAGCAGCTGTACGCACTGGGCGTGAAATTGTCGTGGCATTGGTTGACGATGCTGGACAGGTGGAAAACAGGACGGCGGATGGAAGTAACTTTTCGCCTTTTGCGGTGACTAGGTAGGCCCCTGTTGAGCCACTTCCGAAACTCTCCAAGCATGGCACAGATGGAGGGGGCTCAACGAGCAAATGGGGAACTAGCGGCTGGTGATGGGACGGCTTGGATGGCATCAGTGCGGTGACAGATATCGGCATGCATGGGGCTTCGACATGATAGTCATAGATGCAGTGCCTCGCCTGCATGTGTCGCAGGTTGCGGTGACGGGCTATACCTGTCCTGGGTCGTGAGGCTAGTCAGGAGCCTGAAGGTAAACAGAGCGAGCACGAAGACATGACGATGGCGAATCGCAAGAGGAAAAAATGTAGGTTTGCCTCCCTCTCTGTCTCTGTCTCTCGCTCTCTGTGGAACGGCCGCATGCGCGGACTGGGATATTGAGCCAAGTGGACAGTTAAGGTATGGTCGGTGAGGTACCCGGGAGTGAGGGCCCGGAACAGAATGGACCACGACAGGGGTCAATGGGAGGGGTAGGAGGGGAGGGGAGAGCCGGGAGGGGGGACAGTTGTGGCAACGGGGATGCATGGCTCTTGATGGAGGGTAGGAAATGAGCAGGTGTGGTGAACAAGGAAGATGCCGTAGGCAAAACTACTTTGTCTGCGCCTGTATCCGTACCATGATCTTGCGTGTAAGGGTTCCGAGGGACAGATGGGACGGGACAATCGCGGATGAATTGCGACAGATGATGGACAATGAACCCAAGATGAGGCGATGAATGCCCTGGTTAGATGTGCCAGAGTTGCAGGAAGAATGGATATGGAGATAGACGGTGAGAAAGAGGAGACCTCTGACCAGGGCAGGGCACTGAGAAACGACATAGTTGGCTAATTGAGGTTCGAGTTCCGCACGAGATTCGCAACGAAGCACCGATTCGTGGCCCTCGTTGAGTGCGTAGAATCCTGCCAGGGGGGGGGGGGTCCAGTCGGATGCTCGGCGGTCGAAGGATTGAGCATCTTTGTGTGGCCAATGAGGCGACATGTTCCATCGATAAAAGTTCAACGCAATTTGAATAAGTAAAGAGGTAAGGTAAAGGCTGAGTGACATGCGAATTTGGTAGTTAGAACTAAAGTAGAGCAGGCGAAATGTCGTAAACTTCGAATTTGCATCGACGGAGGCAGATTAAGGTGTGATCGAGTCCAAGATAGCTTAAGTCAAGTAGTTGGTAAGGAAGAATTGCAGAGAAATCCAAAGATTGACTTTTTAGGTTTCCCTCTTGCCTCTCACGATCCCTGGTTGCCTCTCTTCCAAGTTTGCACTTTCTGATTTCTGTGCACCGATCTTCTGATTGAAGGAAGAGAAGGTTCGGATAAGGCGCCTTCGTGATTTCCTCGAAATTACATAATCACGCAACAGTTCGGATGGCGGGGTGCCAAGGCAGGGACCTTCCTTGTCTACTTACATCCTCTACTCCCTACGGAGTACCTCTTTCCATTCCTCTGCTGCACATTTTCAGTGCCGCCCGCCTTCATCCGTCCGTACTTCAGCACCTTCGGTTCCCCTCGAAGACACGTTATGGCATTCTGTCAAACCTTTCGTCCTGAAATGGAGCGAATCTGCAGCTTTGGCACATTGAGCTTCCCTCCCTCCGCGGCCACATACGTACGACGCTGCATGGTTGTTGTTGCCGCCTGCATTCCATCGTCTTGGCCGAACCGTCCTATCAACCAGCCGTCGGATACGTTCTAGAATTAGAGCTACCGCCTTTACAAGTTACAACAGCTTTGGTGCTCAAGACCGCCCATCCCTCATCACTCTCTTCTGGCATATGTTCTACGGCACGGCTGCGCATCTATCGTTCCCTATCCTAGCCGACGGTGGCGCACATCCCGTTCGTTCCGCGGAATGAGGACGCTGCCGGTCGTTGAAGGCCATCACCCGTCCCAGCTAGCGAAGCGCCATGGTTCGCGACATCGAACCATTTTCTCCGTCGATCGCTTAAGAAGACCAGCAAGTTAACAGCTAGAGAGACACTGCTGAACAGCCGCTGTTGACCAGCTGCTCTCTCTTGTCATGGATATGGGAACTTCATTATTGCGCCTTGCTCCCAGCGGTTGCAAAAACCTATTGAACACCAAGTATCTTCACAGAGCTCATATCCTCAGATTGAGCTGCGCACTCAATCCTGCACGTCAGGCTCCGCTGTGATGGTATGCCCTCCGGTCCCCTGGCCGCGGCGGCAAAGACCCCCAGTGGATTCCTCTGAGGGGAGGGACATGGACCGCAGGCCCCATCTGGTGGACCCCGGCTTAGTTGACGGGGCCTTCAAGGGCCTTGCCTACACCTATCCTTGCAACAATGGATTTTAGTATCAAAAGACGGCACAAGAACACGATGCCGAGGCTCTAACCGGCCGAACCAGATCATGTCGGAAGCAATGCGTCCTCCAAGAATTCAGTACTTTCTTGAACCGGTCCCGGAAAGGCCTTCTCATCGTGACGCCCTCGGTGCCAGAAAGCGTTCCTCGGGCCTCGACTTCAGTTTGATATCACTGCATCGACCAAAACGTCTATAACAGCGTATATCGAAGGCACTGCAACTGCTGCTCCTTTACCTGATTTCTGTTAGCGCTCGAGTCTGCGCCAATCTGATCGAGTGGTTGGGTCCAAGTTCTCCGACTGCTGGTATGCGGATACACTGCATGTGCACCTCCATTTTACCGGTCCTATAGCGAGGCGCTGCGCATGGCTGGTCCTGACCCCAGCCCTTGTAAGTCCTCGAAAGCCCATGACTACCTAAAATACATGGATGACCGTACCTTATCCTGATCCGCAACTCCTGACGCATCCGCAGTCGGCACGCAAAACCCTGCCCGGATTCCGGCCACTGCATTTATTTGTCAAGTCAGACTAATGATACAGACTGCGGCCTTCTAACTTGCATAGGCTGTATTGCCTCAACGGCGAAGCATCTGCAAAAAGAGAGTTGGCATATCACAGTTGGTGGCAATGCCGCCTGTTCTGATATGGCGTAGTAACTGAGTCGCAGCCCCTGGCTACACCTCGCCTGACCAAAAAGTCATGGGTATTGGATAAAGTCGTTTGAAGCTGATCGACTCAAACTCAATGCCAATCGTACACATTTTCCTGCATGGACGCGAAAGTGGTTCTCTTGATGGCAAGGACCAGTGCGAGACATCAACGTCATCTTCTGGGCTCAGCAAACTTGGAGATACATTCGAGAGCTGCAATGATCACCCAGCTACTGTTCCCGTGGATAGCACTAGCATGTACGGCGCCCGCATCTCTGAGGCGCGCCAGATGTTTGAAAGCACACTCACTACTCTACTGAACCCCAAACGAGTGATCTCCAAGTGTACTATCACACGGAGAGCCTGAGCCGGCATTGCAATCCTCAACACGGCAAGATCTACTTCTCTGCTGTGAGGCAGATGCGGGATGAATCAGGAGCTGGTTTGTCTGACGACTCAGTCAGGGCTTAGTATTGAAAGAGTCAAGAATCTCGCATATCCGCAACCGCAGGCTGCTTGGGTATCACATTCAACGGTGGCCAGCAGATACGCACTGCGAAACAAAAATTGGAGACAATTTTCCAATTCGGAGAAACCCTGCATGCTCACGCAATCGGAACGCATGGCATTACCCAGGGCCTATGCAAAGGAGTGTCGAGTGGAGCTCTTCGTCATGTCTGCCTGAAGAGAACCCATGCGCGAGGCTTTACCTGGGTGTACGTGATACTGATGAGCAGGCCGTCCTCTTCTCGGTATGCGAAAGAAGAAGAGAGAAGCCCGTCACGTCATCTCATGGGAAGGTGTTGGTACAATGATGTCGCCGAAGACGAGCGTGAGCAGCCTCGGGACGAAAGTCTGGTCAGTCCTCTGATATCACCAGGGAGAGCAGCTATAACAACTAACACGGTCCACGGAATTGTTGTCCGATCTACCAATGGACGGCCTTGACATATCTAAGACAGAGACTCTTCTCTTCTGAGCCGCATGGAATCGAGTCATTGCAGTATTGACGATGAGGGTCACTTGCCAGCGGCGCCTGGAATCATTCCATTACCGGCGATTTTCTCCAAACCTCAGGCTTCAGCTCCAGGGCAGACGGATGTCTGGATTGACACCTGCCGACGTAGTTGCCGAGTAATGACCTTGCTTCCAGACGGCTATTGATCTCGATGGAAGTTTTCCATCCCAAAAGCCGAATGGGAAGACTGGGGGGAGCATAGCTCGATACGACCTCACTAGGCCATGGCCTCTCCGCATGTACATCGTCTGCTCAGGCATATCAGCGAGGGTGTCTACCGGATCTCTGGAATAAAGTGAAACACGGCTCGCATCGCTGACAAAAATGCCAGATAAATTAGAAAGAGAGAACCGGCTGACGCCTCCGTTCCAGAAACCGACGCTGACAGACAGCGTCTGTCAGGCCGCCGGATTTTCGCCGTAATTTAGTGAACAGGAAAGTCTAGCTGGTCTGGCAACGCGGAAACGCTGCATATTTCGGGTAGGGGGCAGAAGTACCAATGCCCAAATAAGCTGAAAAGCACTATGAGACCCGATCAGCTGCATTCAGCTTCCTCGGCATGCCTTTAGAGTTTCAACGGTCAACTACATTGCATAGGGATATCGCCATGGCACGATACATCCAAGACAATTCTCAGACCGCTGGAAAGGACTTCATCAGCCAATGTAAGTTCCTTGAATCCAGACAGCGATTGGTTCTCTACCCCAGAGAACTAAACACAAGCAAATTTCTTTCTGAAGAGGTAATTAGGTCGTGGATGATGCGAGGAGGAGGAGGGGCCACTCAAAATGGTCGGAGGCGTCTGGGTGCCCAATAGAAGAACAACCTACGAACAGAACACCACCATCAAATCGAAGACATCTTACCTGCAGCCACCGCCTCAATCGTCGCTCAATTACCTTATATCAACGAAGCAACATGTGAATCTTGTCCCCCTTTTCCAGTGCGAAGCTAGCATGTGCATTTCAGCCAATCTACCACCCATTAGCAGCAGCAGCAGCCGTACTATAATAAAACTCACCTACACACACCCACATTGCGCTTCCGCATCCGCATCCGCGTAACTCCCCCGGGCGTATAATATAGCCTGCCTTTCATACCTTGACTCACACACCTCACCGCCAATCGATCAAATCCAAGCCAAGCCAACAGACAGCAACGTCCACTTCCCGAGCATTGGCAGACCAAAAAAAGACACATTGAGACCCCCCGGAAGCCGAAATCGGGGGTGGAATCGGGATCTGATTCATTGAGTCGGTGAGCGAGGGGAAACACGACATCTGCCACACGCATGTGTTTTTCGCAGTTTATATACGATTTTACCATGTGCCTCTACTGCAACCGCTACAAGACGGATGACGACGACACAGTAAGTGGGTGAAGGAGAAAGATATCGCATGGGAAGCACAACATGCCCTGGTGCATTTCTCGGTGTGTCTTTTATGTGAATGGCTGCGAAAAACGCACCCACCTTCAATTACATGTTGCTCTTGCTCTGCTTTTGCGTCACAATCAAGATACTTTCCTCAGCCTACCTCAACCTCGAGGTGCACTCAAGGTGCCTCAAGGTAGGTAGAGTCACGTTTCACCGCCTACCGCCACCGGCACACGCACGCCGAGTCATCCATTAAGAATTCCATCGTGACGCTGCGTCCTGTCAGTCATCGCCATATGCCACCCCCAAACGAGACCTTTCTCTCCAATGTTGTCTCTCACAAACAGCAGGCGAATCAAGCTCGCGCCGGATACAATCGCGCATACCTAGTCAAATGCAGAGGAGAGAATCAAGAATTACAAAAAAAAGGCAAGGCTCATACTTTGGGAATCTATGTGTATGGGAGCACAAACAGGACGGATACAGCATTACACATCATACGAGCTTTTTTGGGAGAGAAAAAAAGTGCCTGCCCCGAAAGCCCCCCCTCCGTACAAAAAGGTCTCGGTCCAAGGATCTTTCCCCCCCTCCTCCCTCCCCTCCCCTCCCTCCGAGGAGCGGCATCGCCCGTTCACCCGCACCTCGCAAACAAAGGTCGACGCGATCAGAAAGTGCTGGTCGCCAATCGGCTCGCCGCGTTTCTCGCATCCACTCGGTCCTCGTCGTCCTCCTCTGCCACACCGGACAGGCTCGCCCGGCCGCCCGCTGCGCCGAGGCCCTTGTTCTGCCCCGCACCCTGGCTGTCGTCGCCCTCACCGTCCTCGGGGACGCCCATAAGACTGCCAGACACGCTGCGGTTGAGCGTGTCGGTACGTCGTGGAACACCGCTCCATGCATCACCCTTGGGACCTTGGCTGGCTGCCACGCTGGCCCTTCTGACGGGAGGGTGAGCCTCGCGTCCCAGTCGACTCAGACCGCCAGATGCGTCAATGGCGCGGATGTCTGGTCTTACGCTCTCGAGGACGGCGAGAGCACGTCGCTCAGCTTCAATCTCGCGAATGACATATTCTCTGATGCTGAGCCGAAGGTCCGCTGCAGTCCTCGCGAACCACTTTCGGCGCTCCTGTACGAGATTTTGCGTGACACGAGTCGTCTTTTGGTAGAGGTAGGTCTCGTTTTGGCGGGCGTCATCGAGGGCCGTAATGGCCTCATCGACCTTCTCGCGCCTTACGTTGGAGCTCGCCTTCAGACGATCGGCAGCATTGAGCTTGCTACGTGTGTTCTCTTGTGCCTGGAGGAATTCGCGAATGAGGATTTGGCGATTTGTGAGTGACTCCTTGACCACAAATGAGTCCTGGGAGTGGTACTGGAAAGGATCACCAATGGTGGTAGCTTCCGCAGTAGCTTGCGCAGCGTGGTAATCACCGACGGTCTGTACGATCTTGCCCAACTTACGATAGGCATTGGCGAGACCCTGATGGGGCTCTTGGATATGCATGGAGCCGAGCTTGACGCCAAAGTCGGATTCAGCCAATCCCAGACCTAGATGATATCAGACCTGCAAATGCCCGCGCGTTGTTGGGAAGGATTGACGTTGGACCTACCTCGACGAGACTTGACGAGCTTATCGACCTTGTGGCCGGCATCCATGGTTCCAAGGTAGAAGAGCTTCACAATCGGACGAGCCTCCTGGAGCTCTGGAGTGTCGTCAGGCGGGGGAGCAAACTGCTTCAGGATCTTTCTGCGCACACCCGTCGCCGGCTGCTTCATCTTTACCATGGGGCTGTAACCGAAATCGCTCTCAACGAAGAGGACCATCTCATCGTCCCTCATAAGGACTTCGTTGCTGCACACGTAGTTGAACCACCGTTGTAATAGAGCCTTAACACGGGCTTCGTCCTCGTCCGTGCCAGCGCCGGCCGAAGTTACGGCGGGCGGTACGGTAGGTACCAGGCATTCCGGGTTGGCTGAAATCAGGTGCTCCGCAAGCTTGACGAATTCGGAATGGAAACGACGTACGTCGCGGTACTGCGTAGTGCGGAACCGTGGGAGGTTGGTCTACGGCGTGTTAGGCAATCACCTTCCAGCGCACAGGGGGGTTTGCTCCTTACATGAACATCGAACCGCAAGATGGGGTCCTTCTTCCCGGTGCGCTCGAGACCGGTGATCTTGGCCTGTAGCCTGAACTGAGGCTGCTGAGGCTTGCGCGGCTGTTGTTGAGCCTGACCGCCCGCGGCCGCGGGGCCACCCTGTTCCTGCGACTTTTGAGGCAGCTCAGGTCCCGGACCATCGCCGCTGGAGCGGGCTTCTGAGCCTATTTCGGTCCTCGACTCCTGTGTTTCCACCTCGGTGGTCGACTGGGTGCTGCTTGCGGTGTCTGGTCGTCTGTATTGCTGCTCGCCGCCAAAGCCCTCCTGGTGGTCTTGCGGCGTTGCGTTGCCGGGACTCGGTGAGTAGTTGAAGGGGGATCCAGCCGGGTCGCCGCCGAGGTCAGCACCAAGAGATGAGAAGTTGGTCTGGTTGGGCCGGGGCGAGGAGCCTGGGGAGTTTCCCCAGGGCGATGCGCCGCTCTCTTCGTGGATAGAGGCGCTGTAATCCATGGCTACGGCGGTCTCGTTGTCGTCGTTGTTCGTCGTCTGCGAAGGCGTGCGATCGATGATGTCGTCGGGTTGCGTGGACGGATCACGACTGGCCGACAAAGCCGATGCGGGGAAGAGGGAACGGGTGTAGATGGTTATTTGGGGATTCGGCACACGAGCCCATCCATTGATCGGTGTCGGAATGCAACAGTGCTTGTCGTGGGCCGGAGGATAGTGGTCCGGGTGTGTAGATGATGGTCCGTATAATCGCTGTCGTGTCGTTCGCAAGCTGAGGCGGGATGCGAGCGTGATGTCCAGAAGGCCGGGGGACCTTTTCTCCACGCAGCTGCCTTGAATTGGTTCGTAACCACCGCAGTTCAAAGCCTCAGGTACGT